GGGAAAGCATTCCAGGCATTGGAGACAGCCAGCAAAAAGGTATAAAGCTGGGAGATTGAGTGTCTTGTGAAAGGAACAAAAGGGTCAATGACCCTAGATCATAGATTACATAAAGGGAAGTAAAGCATAAGAAGACTTAAAAAGTAGGAAGAGATTGTAAAGAACTTTAAAAGCCAAATGGAAGAAAGGGAAGGGAAGAAGCATTTATTAAGTATCTACTATATACAAAGCACTTTACTGAATGCTTTACATATATTATCTTATTTGATCCTCAACAACCCTGGAAGTTGGGTGCTGTTATTATCCCCATTTACATTTGAGGAAACTGAGGCAAATAGAAGTTAAGTGACTTGCCCAGAGTCACACAGCTAGCCAGTGTCTGAGGCCAGATTTGGACTCAGGTCTTCCTGACTCCAGACCCAGTGCTCTGTCCAGTGAGCCAGCTAACTGCTTTACATATAAGATTTTCACCTGTTCCTCAAGACAATTGAGAGCCACTGGAGTTTGTTGAGTAGGGGGTAACATTGTCAGATACGTGGTTAGGGAAGACAATTAAGCTCAGGATGGACTGAAGTGAGGAGAGACTTCAGTCAGGAAGACGAACCAGGAGGTTATAATCCAGGTGTGAAGTGATGAGGGTCTGCACCAGAGTGGTGAATGCGTCAGAGAAAATAAGGGGTCCTGTATAAGAGATATTGTAAAGGCAGAAATAACTAGACCTGGCAACAGATTGGCTATGTGAGGTGACTGAGGGTAAGATATCAAGGATGATGTATAGGTTGTGAGTCTGTGTGATTGGGGGGTAGTGCCCACAACATTAACAAAGAAGTCAGAAAGATGGAAGGGTTTGGAGGGAAAGATAATGAGCTCAGCTGTGGACATGTTGAATTTAAGATGTCTACAGGGCATCCTGTTTGATACATTTCCTATGCAATTGGAGATCAAGAGAGAGGTAAGGGCTAGATAAATAGATCTGGGGATCATTTGCATGGAGATGATCATTGAATCCAAGAGAGCTACTGAGATCACTGAGCAAGATGGTATAGAAGAAGAGGACCCAGGACAAACCGCTGGGGGATGCCCAGGGTTAATGGATATAACCTCATTGAAGATCCAGCAAAGGAGAATAAGAAGGAGCCATCAGAGAGGTAGAAATCAGTGAGATCATATTATCATAAGATCATTGATTGAAAGAGACCTCAACCTCTGCTGTTATTGCTGTTGTTGTTATTGTTGTTGTTGTAACAATTAGAGCTGCCCCAATGCAGAATGGGCTGCTTCGGCAAGCAGTAAGCTCTCTATTCCTGGAGATCTTCAAGTAGAAATCGGTTGACTATTGATTTGGGAATTTGTGTTCAGGTAAGGGTTGAACTGAATCCCCTCTGAGATCTCTTCCAACTCTGAGATTTGTCAATTACTATTATTATTCTCTCAGCTCAGTAAACATGCTGCAGAGAGGCTGCTGACTTTGGAGTCAGGACCTGTGTTCAAATCCCAGCTCTCCCACTTACTATGTGACTATGTTGAAATCTTTTGGCTTCTCTTAACCCCAGTTTCTTAATCAGTAAAACATGAAATGGCTGGAGTAAATTATTTCAGAGGTCCCCTCCAGCCCTAAATGCTGTGACCCTATGATATTCATCTGTAAAATGAATGGATTGGATAGATAGTCTCTAGGGGTCCTTTCCAACTGCAAGATGCAATAATTCTATAAGATTAGCATTCACAAAAGGGTGAGCTAACTAAATCAATCAAGTATTTGTATCCACATTGGTAGAAAGTTTTACAGTTTAGAAAACCCTTTTCTTTACAACTTTGTGAGATGAATAATGCAAGTGTTATTTCCCCATTTTACATATGAGGAAAACAGACTTAGAAAGGTTAAGTTTCTTGCCTATTTTCATGTATCTAGTAAATGTTGAAGTTGCTACTCAATTCCAGGTCTCTTGGTTGCAAATCTAATGTTCTTTCCATCACATCAAACAAAGCAATGCTTTGCCCAGTATTTTCCTTTGATAAGGGATTAAGTACCTAAGAAATCTGAAAATGGCATGTACTCATGTTATGTGCCTCCTCCTCCTCCAACAATAACAACAACAACAACAACAATAATAATAACTAATATTTACAGTGTTTAAAGGTTGTGAAGTCTCTTAACTTCCCTTATCTTACACAGCCATCATAGATATTATGAGTATTATTATCTCCATTTGACAGATGAAAAAACTAAGTCACAAAGAATCTCTTTGACTTGCCCAGGATCATGCAGCTTGTAAATAAGTTTCAGGGGCAGAATTTGAACTCAGGTCTTCCTAAGTCCAACACTATCCACTACTTCTCACTGCTTCTACCCACCCAGGCATATGATACAAAGGGAAGAAATACACTCTTCCTATCTTCTCTTTTTCCGGACCCTGCCAATCATCCTCACCCTGGAGAAGAACAAATCCGCTTCCTGCCAGACCCAACCTGCCTCCTGTTCCTCTCAGATGCTCACTGCCATCATCTTCCACTCACCACCATCCAATTCCACTTCAGCAAGCAAGTCAACCAATCAATCAACAAACATTTATTAAGTACCTACTGTGAGCCTATCAATGTGTCAGGTGCTAGTGACACAGAATACTACAACAATCCCTGTCCTGGAGATTACATTCTACTGGGTGAAACACAAATGCCAAAGGTGTATAGTTAAGTCATTTCAAGCCACTTTCCTAGTGGACTTTTACTGAACAAAAAAGCAATATTTATGTCACTTGGATGTTTCTGAGAAGAATTAGCTGTTTATGAAAAACAAAATGGAGCCAGGGAAAGATATAATCTAGCCTCTTTTTCTTCTTCCCTTTCTCATTCTCTCCCTCTGTTCCTTTCTCTTTCCCCCTCTTTTTCTTTGTCTCTCTGTTTCATTCTCTCTCCCTTTATTTCTCTGTCTCTCATTCTCTTTCTCTTTCTCTCCCTCTCTCTCCTTCTCTCTCTCTTCCTCCACCTCTCTTCTTTCACTCTTTTTCTCTCTTCTCTCCCCTTCCCCTTATACACATATAGGACATGATACAGTGGAAAACATACTGGCTTTGGAATTAGATGACCTAGGTTTGAAACCTGACAGCTTCCTACTACTTCTATAACTTTGGACAAGTCACTTGACTTCTCTGGGCCTCAGTTTCCTCACCTGTAAAATGGGAGGGGTGGAGTAGGCATCCTGTAACATCCCTTCCAGCCCTAGATCTATGATCCCATATAGTTAACCTGTGAAAATGCTTGATTGTCCTTCCTTTACTGTCTAGTGCTCCTCTGACAAGGCAGTATCCCCTGACTTCCTAATTCTCAGAAGGGTCACAAGGTGGTATCCTCAGGTTTTCCTCTCTCTAGGTGGCATTGGTGAAACACTTTCTGTTCAAAGTGCTTTGATGTCCATTCTCTTATTTCCTTTTTATGACAACCATCTGACATGGGCATTTTAAGGATCATGATCACCACTTTCCAAATGAGGAAACTCAGGTTCAGAGACATGAAGTGATCTGCCTAATGTCACATAGCTAAGAAATGAGGGAGCTGGAACTCGAACCCAGGTCTTTTGATTCTTCCCACTATACCACTATAATGGAAAGAGCACTGAACAAGTCTTTAGACTTGGGTTCAAATCTTGTTTCAAACAGTTACTATCTGTGTGACTGTGGCAAATCTCTTCACTAGTGTAAATTTCAGTTTCCATATCTATAAAATGAGGACGATAATATCCATGCTATCTACCTCATGAGGTGTTGTTAGGAAGAAAGTACTTTGAGAGACTTAAGGCAGTCTATGGATGTGAATTACCAGACCACCTCTAATAAACATCTGACTTTCCCTAGACCTGCCTTAATTCCTGCTGTACCCTGAACCTATGGGCCTGTGGGCCTGGGCTAATTTGCATGGCTGATATAAATGGTAATGGTTAATCAAGAATCTATTTAGCTTGTGTTTAATAAGAAATGTTTCCCCTTGCTCTTGTTACTAGTTACTGAAGATGTCTCTGTGTGAATGAAAACTTTGTCCCTTGCCATCTGGATACTGTTGATATGTCTCAGTTCAGTCATGAACCGGGTGATATCAGTGGTTTCCATGTCAACAGATTACAGTATCTTATGTAGAAATGTGTGACTGTATTGCACCAAGAAGAAGGCAGCCTCTGAAGGGGGAAAGCTCCAGTTTCACTCTGAAAAATCTTAGCTGATTTTCAGTAATTGTGTTGGAAATATTTCAGTTTTGTTCCAATTATATCTGCAGGGAGAACTGCAGTTTCAATGTTTGGGGTCATTTGGGAATGGGACAATAGGCTTGTTGATAGCTCCATTTTCATTCTGTTGGGAGGACTTTTCCCCAAAGAGGATACATTAACATCTAAAACCAATGGAAATAAGTTTATTCTCTGAATGATGGAGATTTACCATGTGTACCTAATGGGTGACTATCTCAGAGCTCTTCAGGCCCCAACAGCTATGTCATAGATGTGTAATTATATTTATGAAAAATGTTTGGATAATGAATCCTGGCTAAGGATAGCAATAGCAACTATAGCCTAAAGTTAAGAGTCATTGGGATAATTTCTTAAGAAACAAACAAAAAAAACCTGGTACTGTGAGGAGAGGACTAGATTTCGAGCAGTAATACCTAGCTCTGCTACCTACTATCTATATGATCTTAGCCAAGTGACTTAATCTATCTGGGCCTCAGTTTCCTAATCTGTAAAATGAAGGAGGTTGGGCTATATGATCTTCTAAGCCCTTTGAGTGCTAAATCTTAATCTGTGATCCATAAACTTCAAGTTACCAGGGTCTCAAACGTTCCCTAAAGAGGTGTAGTGGGAGATGGATTTTAATCATCTATTTCTAAGAATTCATCATTCTGATGACCAGAACAGACCACAGCAGATAGTGTGTAACTAACTACACACATGAAATACTTCTTAATACAAACTCAGGAACTTGAGCTGATCTCAGCTGTCTGCTTTTCTTTTATAGATAAAGAATGCCGCAGCGAATGTCCTTCGAGAAACATGGCTTATCTATAAACACACCAAGCTGCTCAAAAAGATTGACCATGCCAAAGTCCGGAAACACCAGAGGAAGTTCCTCCAAGCTATCCACCAGTAAGTAGAGCCAAGCCCAACATAACTTCCCATGGTCTTCATGAGGCCTCGAGAAAGTGGCCTGGGAGGTGGTGGAAAAGAGAGGCCCGTGACAGTTTCCACCTTAGATCTACTGGTGTTCTCCTTGGTAGACCCAAAGAGAGAGAGAGGAGAGAGAGATAAAAGAAGACATGTCCTTTCCTTGGACCTTGCCAAGTCTATGATTCAGGTTGTGTTCACATTAACCATGCTAGGTTTCAAAATCAGAGAGGGTAATTTGGTCAAGAAACTGAAGCCAAAGGAGTGAGGTGATCTCTTAACATCTTAGCATGAAGGCCAAGATGAGATCGTTGCCATCTTTCTCCCACAGGCTGAGAAGCGTAAAGATGGAACAGAGAAAGCTGAGTGATCAAGCCAACACCCTGGTAGACCTTTCCAAGGTGAGTGGGTGAATCTGAAGCCACCCTCAAGAGACTTCAGATTCTTCCATTTAGATTGTTTGTTTTAAGGGTGGCTGGGAATACCTGGATAAGATAATGCCCCACAAAACTTTACACTAGGAAGCCAGAGAAAGATTCCTACTAGGATCCATACTCCTCCCCCCCCCCCAAAAACCCATATATACACAAAACCACACACACACACACACACAAAAACAGCCTTAAGGTTAAAATTCTAGAGACTTAGAATTGACTGTAATTACTGTTGTGCTCAAAAGTCTGGTATTTATTCCCAAGATAAACAAATTGTTTCAGATTCACTAGGTCACCTGATAAAGGTAATAGTCCTGCCACGATTCTGAATTGACAGACAGAGAGTAACATGCCAAGTGAGAGCTACAGTTCTGTGAGTTCTTACTATAGGAGCCATGATAAAAATCTAACCTGAGTTGTCCAGTTTAGGTCCTGAGTTATATTTACATGGAACTGAATGAGACTGGTTCATTATGTCCTGAGTTCAGGATAGTCTCCTAAAGAGAATGTGGAGGGACATGCAAGCACAGGACCTAGAATTGACTTTGTTCTTTATCATTACTGTTGAGTTTGTGTAAGGGTTTTGTTGTTGTTGTTGTTATTGTTGGTCCCTACCTGTGCTTTCAACAGTATAAGGAATTCCCAGTGTGGAAACTCCCTCTACCAATGCAAATCGCAACTATTCCCCAACATAAAGACTTAGAAAATTGCAGGTAGCATTGCAAGGTTAATTGACTTGACTATGATCACACAGGTGGTATGAGTCAATCAAAATCAATCAATAAACATTTATTAAGTACTTAAGTGTCAGGCACTATGCTAAGTGCTGGGGATACAAAAAGAGGCAAAAGACAATCCCTGCCCTCAAGGAGCTTGCAATTTAATGAGCAAGACAACATGCAAACAAATCAATACAAAGCAAGCTATAAGACAGGATAAATAGGAAGTAATTAGCAAAAGGAAGGCACTGGAATCGAAAGGGTTGGATAAGGCTCCTTGTAGGAGGTGGGATTTTAATTGGGACTTAAAGGAAGTGAGGGAGGTCAATGGTCAGGGTAGAGGAGGGAGAGCATTCCAGATATGGGGGATAGCCAGAGAAAATGAGAGGAACATGATTGGACCTGTGTTTTAGGAAAATCACTTTAGTGGGTGAATGGAGAATGGATTGGAGTGGAAAGAAATATGAGTCAGACAGAGGGCGGAGCCAAGATGGCAGAGTCAAGATGGCAGAATAAAAGCAGTGACTTGCTTTAGCTCTCTTTCAAACCCCTCCAAATACCTATAAAAATGGCTCTAAACAAATTCTAGAACAGCAGAACCCACAAAAAGACAGAGTGAAACAAATTTCCAGCCCAAAGCAACCTGGATGGTTGATTGGAAAGGTCTATTGAGCTGGGCTGGGACAGAAGCACAGTTCAGCATGGGTGCACAGGCCTTTAAAGACCAGGCCTCAGCAAACCTGCAGCAGGCCTGAGGGGACTGAATCAAGGGGAGCTGTGGTAGTTTCCAGACTCCTCAACCCACAAACACCAAAGACAACTTAGAAAGTCAGTAGGAGGGGCAGCTAGGTGTCTCAGTGGATAGAGCATCAGCCCTGAAGTCAAGAAGACCTAGGTTCAAATCTGGCCTCAGACCAAACACCTGACACTTACTAGCTGTGTGACCCTGGGCAAGTCACTTAACACCAATTGCCTAAAAAAAAAAAATACTTTCCTACTTTTCCAGTAGGAAAGATCCGTGACTGAGGTGAGGGAGGAGCTGGGTCCCACCCCAGTCCCAGCACGGGCCCAGGGCAGTGGCTGCTTCCTGAGCTCTTAGCCCACAGGTGGTGGGGGGATCAAGTAGCTGATCAGATGGGGATTGCAGGGATCTCTTTGCTGGTGCTAAGGCAGGAATCTCTTGCTTTGCCTGTGCTTGGATCTGGATCCCAGTCCTAGGTGGGGGTACTGAGGAGAGGAGGAGCACTGGCATGGAGGAGCTTGTGGTGGCATGGAGAAGGAAACCTCCTCCCATTTCCAAGGCAGCAAAGAGTGCTTGTGATCACTCATAGACCAGAGCACAGGCCAGGAAAGGAGTAAACACCTTGCCTTTGATCATACCACCTTGGAAGAACTGAAAATTTACAGGTCCCTAGAAGTATCTCTGAAAATAGCTTCACAAAACCCCCAAAGCTTGGGATAGTACATTCTCCACACTGGAAGCAGACTCCTACCTTAACAAAGAGTTTAAAAGTCAAATAGTTGGCTGGGATCATGAGCAGGCAGCACAAAAAAAAGTCAGACCATAGAATCTTACTTTGGTGACAAAGAGGATCAAAACATACAACCAGAAGAAGACAACAAAGTCAAAGCTCCTACATCCAAAGCCTCCAAGAAAAATATGAATCAGTTCCAGGCCATGGAAGAGCTCAAAAAGGATTTTGAGAAGCAAGTAAGAGAAGTAGAGGAAAAACTGGGAAGAGAAATGAGAATGATGCAAGAAAATCATGAAAAATAAGTCAACAGTTTGCTAAAGGAGACCCCAAAAAATACTGAAGAAAATAACACTTAGAAAAATAGACTAACCCAAATGGCAAAAGAGGTCCAAAAAGCTAATGAGAAGAAGAATGCCTTAAAAAGCAGAATTGGCCAAATGGAAAAGGAAGTCCAAAAGCTCACTGAAGAAAATACTTCCTTGAAAATTAGAATGGAGCAAATGGAAGCTAATGACTTTATGAGAAATCAAGACATTGTAAAACAAAGCCAAAAGAATGAAAAAAATAGAAGAGAATGTGAAATATCTCATTGGAAAAATAACTGACCTGGAAAATAGATCCAGCAGACAGAATTTAAAAATTATTGGACTACCTGAAAGTCATGATCAAAAAAAGAGCCTAGACATCATCTTTCAAGAAATTATCAGTGCAGCTAGGTGGCGCAGTGGATACAGCACTGGCCCTGAAGTTAGGAGGACCTGAGTTCAAACCCAGCCTCAGACCAAACACTTGACACTTACTAGCTGTGTGACCCTGGGCAAGTCACTTAACCTCAATTGCCTAAAAAAAGGGGGTGGGGATTATCAAGGAAAAGTGCCCTGATATTCTAGAACCAGAGAGTAAAACAGACATGGAAAGAATCACCCGATCACCTCCTGAAAGAGATCCCCAAAGGAAAACCCCTAGGAATATTATAGCCAAATTCCAGAGTTCCCAGGTCAAGGAGAAAATATTGCAAGCAGCCAGAAAGAAACAATTCAAGTATTGTGGAAACACAATCAGGATAATACAAGATTTAGCAGCTTTTACATTAAGAGACTGGAGAGCTTGGAATATGATATTTCAGAGGGCAAAGGAGATAGGATTACAATCAAGAATCACCTACCCAGCAAAATTGAGTATAATCCTTCAGGAGAAAAAATGGACATTCAGTGAAATAGAGAACTTTCAAGCATTCTGGATGAAAAAAACAAAGCTGAATAGAAAATTTGACTTTCAAATACAAGACTCAAGAGAAACATAAAGAGGCAAATAGGAAAGAGAAATCATAAGGGACTTATTAAAGTTGAACTGTTTAAATTCCTACTTGGAAAGATGATATTTGAGATATGAGGCAGGTAGACCTACCAGCAGGCTATTACAATAATATAGGCTTGAGATAATGAGAGCCTGCACTAGAATTGTGGAAGTGTCAGAGGAGAGAAGGGGACATATTCAAGAAATGTTGCAATGGTGAAATCAACAGGCCTTGGCAACAGATTGGAAGGAGGGGAGAGTATGGAGGAATCTAGAATGACTCCTAGATTGCAAGCCTGAGGGACTGGGAGGATAGTGTTGTCCTCTACACTAATAGGGAAGGTAGGAAGGAAGTAGGGTTTGGGGAAAAGACAATGAGTTCCATTTTGGACACTTTTAGTTTAAGATGTCTACTGGATATCCAGTTTGAGGTGTCTGAAAAGCAGCTGGAGATATGAGATTGGAAGCAGAGAGATTGGAGCAGGATAGGTAGACTGGAGAATCATCAACATAGAAATGGTAATTAAATTCATGGGAGCTCAAGTAAGATCTGACTCTAAGGCTGGCCCTCTGTCTACTACAACATGCTACCTCTCTATTGCTATAATCAGTGACTGATTTGAAGATGTTCAATTTGTAGCTCAATTCAGTGATTCCTTCTCTATTTTCAAACCTTCCCATTTTCCTCCTATGGAAATATGGGGATAAGGATACATTTCTAGAGATGCACTGTCCAGAGGAGAATGACCAGGATGGACTGAAGACCAGGTCAACTTAAGGCTAGCAGAAGTAAATGTGGGAAAAAGAAACATATATAGAGATGCATAAAGTGGAGAAAAGGAGGGAGGGAGAGGATATAAGTACTGTCCTCTGATATCTGAAGAGCTGTTATATGAAGACAAAATGAGTCTTAGACATTCTCCTCAGGTCCAGAGAGCAAAAGTAGGTCCAGTTGGGAGAAGTAACAAGTAGATATATTTGCTCACTATAAGGAAAAGCCTTTCTAACCAACAAAGCTGCCTTACAATAGAATGAGTTGCCCTATTCCTGCCACTAAAGTTCTTCAGGTAGGCGCCACTGGGGATGTTACAAAAGGGATAGATACATTGTCCAGGTAGAGGGGAACTGGATGACCATGACATCCCTTCCCTAACTCTGAGATTCTTGGATTCTGTGACTTGATTACTCTGGCTCTCCAAAAGAGGGAGAGAGATACAAAGTCCAAGAAAAAGTCCAACGAGAAAGCTCTCCTTTGAAACTATGTGGGCTTTTATAGCTTGCTGTTATGATTTAGGCATTTCTCTATGCCTCTTCAGGCAACTAAGTGATACAGTGGATAGAGCTTTGGGGCTGAAGTCAAGAAGACTCATCTTCCTGAGTTCAAATCTGGCCTCAGGCACTTACTGGTTGTATGACCCTGGGCAAGTCACTTAACCCTTTTTGCCTCAGTGTCCTCATCTGTAAAATGAGCTGAAGAAGGAAATGGCAAACTACTTCAGTATCTCTGCCAGGAAAACCTCAAATGGGGTCACAGAGAGTCAGACACATCTAAAGCAACTCAATAACAACAATAACTATGCCATTCCACTGTTATACTAAAGCATTCCTTTCGGCACTTTTCTGGGAGGCACATTAATAAGCTTAAGAATTTCACTTCTCCTCAAAATCCCTGAAGTTAAGGCGTGAAAGGTCATTGTTACCAGCAGCAGAGAGCACATCAGTAATCATGACGCGTAGGTGTCTATTGAAGAAAGGGACCTCCCCCTCATCAAGTTCTCTTCATTGCTACTTGATCGAAATCATATGTAAAGTACAAAGCCCAGGGCCAGCCTAGTAGAACATGCAGGCAGACATTCATTATCATAATGGAACACACTTCTTTGGTGAGCCCAAGGAGAAAAGCAACTCCCTCACACAAATTAAGCCCCATTGAGAACGTGGTACAATCAGTGCAAATTATTGGTTATTTGGCCATCCACAGGCACAGGGTACAATGAAAGGATTGTGTCAAAGAAAGGATTCCCTAACCTGATGTGGAAATTACAATCAAGTGGCTAAGTGGGTTGGCACAGTTTGGAACAAGCATAGAGAGACTGTCATTACTCTTGGAACATTTGGGTGAAATGTGGAGTTTTCAAGTTGTTTTTTAGGAGTCCATCAAGGGAAAAGCTATTGCTAGGGTGGAAAGAAAGATCACATTTAGTGTCACTGGCTTAGGATTGCTCCTGTAAAGGAGAAGTGTTTCCCACCTCACCTCACACCAAGCACAATATATATCCATACCAGCCTAAATTATGCTACCAAGAGGAAGCATTTTCTGGTACTAATTTAAGCCAGGTAACTGCATTCTGAGGTTTCTGTGACCCTGCCCCTGGTGCATCTCCCAGAGACAGAAACCAACATATAGCAGGCTGTGTGAAGCAAAAATATCAGGTGCAACAGAAAGTCTCATCTATCCCTCATGGAGCCTGGAATGGAAACAATTTGGGGACCATATTATTACCTGAAGGGAAGGAAAGCATTCTAGGAAAATGACCTTCATGGTGGGCTGCTGTAAAGTAGGAAGAAGAAGTAAACACGGACATGCTGCCAGTCTTTTTCTTTTCCTCTCTGGGGGGAATTAAAGGCACTGGCAGTCTCCTAGCATATCCCACATTGGGCTGTGTTTCTCCTGGAATCCTGTCACCAGGCAACGAACAGGAGATGATAGCATAGTCATTGCCTTGGTGTGTGTGTGTGTGTGTGTGTGTGTGTGTGTGTGTGTGTGTACGTGTATGTATGTGTGTGTTCACTCTCCATTTATCTTTTTTTTCTCCTTTGGTTCCTTGAAAAGGAAGAACCTGTTGAAATGGGGGGGAGGGGAAGGGGGGGGGGAAGAACAGCAGGATCCAAAATGTTCTGACTACTTTTTATAGCTGCCTCACAAACAGGCCTCCCCTTCTGTTCAATGAAGTGGGAGGGGTTTGTGTGCATGTCCCTGGAGGGTGCTCTGTGAATACTGATCCTTGAAGGAATGGCTATCACTTCACCGAATCATCATTTTGACATGGTCATTGGCATGACACTGCAGCCAAAAAAAAAAAGTGATCTTGCGCTTCTTAGGCAGCATTAACAAAGGTAGAGCCCCTGGAATGGGGCAGCAATAGGCCTGCTGTCCTTGGTCCTAGTCAGATCACACAGGATCACAGATTCAGAGCTGAAAGAAAGACTCTAGAGGTCATGTAAACCAACACAGTCATTTTACAGAGGAGGAAACTGAGGCACCTTGCCCAGGATTACATAGGTAATAAGTGGTAGAGCCAGCATTCAAACTCAGGTCCTCTGACTCCAAGTCCAGGATTCTTTCCACTCTGCCACACTGCCTTTTACATCTGGAGCGTTCTGTTTTGAGCCCCACATTTTAGGGAGGAGAAGTTGGAGTGAGGCTGAAGGAGGAGAGTGACCAGCATGGGTGAGGAGTTTGGAAACCATGGCATAGGAAAATCAGCTAAAAGAACCCTGTGAAGAGGAAACCTTTATGAGTGGTGGTAGGGAGGACATCACAGCTGTCTTCAAGTATTTGAAGAGCTGTCTTGAAGGACAGGGTTCACACTTGCCCTATTTGGCCCCAGCAGGTTGAACTAGGAGCCACAGGTGGAAGATGAAGAGTAGCTGTTTTCTACTCGAAGGACAAATTCCTAGAGCAGCGATGGCAAACTCAAATAGAAAGAGGAGCCAATGAACTATACACAAGGAACCACATATTGACTTAGAAAACCACATATTGACACTATCTATATTCCATTGTATTTTTATATATTTTTAAAAATATTTCCCAATTATATTTTAATTTAGTTCTGGCTCACTCAGGAGTGTTGCTGTGGTAATGTGGCCCTTCAGCTATGTGTATGACACATCTTTCCTATATCATTAGAACTGTTGAAAAGTAGAATTGACTGCTTTAAGAAGTAGGGAATTCCCCATCCCTAGAGATTTCAAACAGTGTGGATGACTACTTTACAGAAGGGACTTCCTACTTCTTACATCTAGAGCTGGAAAAGATCCATTAAAGCTTTCTAATCCAACCCCCCCCCCCCAGTTTATAATTAAGGAAATTGACGCTCAAAGAGATTAAGTGACTTACCCAAGGTCATATAAGTGGTGAGTGACAGATGTTATTAGAACCCAGGAACTTTGACTCCAGAGCCAAATACTTATTCCACCATACTCCACTGATGGCTGGATTAAATGATTTTGGAGGCCCTTTCCAGTTCTGAGATTTTGTGATTTTTTTGGTATAGATTTTGAGGACAAACATTATATACAAGTTGTACATTTACTTAGCAAAATTATGGTTTCCCCAGATACACAGATAATGGAACAGGGCTACACTCTCTGTCAGTGGAGGATTTGGTTTAATGCACACAATGAATTCCCCACTTTGGCAGTGAGTCACTTTGGTAGGCATCCCTGCATTTTCTATCTCCTTTCCCCCAGAACTGGTCCCTTAGCTCTCTTTTGACTACTTCTCCACCACCACTACCATTTTTCCTCTTAATTTATTTTCCATTTCCTTTGCTTCCCTTGCCATCTGTTAGTTCTGCTTCCTCCCACCCCTTTTATGAGTGATCTCTTTTCCTATCCTAATAGGACTTTGTGGAAAGATCCTTGCAGAACTATTTTGTTCGCAAATTTAGCAAAAAAAAAAAAAAAACTTTGGATAAACAGAAGCATCATAGGCTCTCTCCTAATCAGTCAAAAACTCTTACCCAAGCCCAAGGAAGTGACCTTGCACTTCCTTAGCAGCATGTGGCTTCACTCCCTTAAAAGACACCAGCCTCATCATTTGGAAGGTTTGATGGACTAATAGTATTGAGATTGCCTGGAGAGTCAGTCTATGGTGGGCACCTATTCAAGGCTCTACTTCTGGATACAAGATCACAGATTTAGAGCTGGAAGGGAACCTCAAAGGCCAACAAATCCAACCTTTAAGCTTTTCCGCCTTTCCTTGGTCTGAGAGAATATGAGTCATCATTACAGGTTGTCCTGCTCTAAGCTCATTGTAATTGGTTCTCCCCCTGCTTATGTTCCCATGATAACCTGGTCTGTATTCTTTTTTACCCCACAGATGCAGAATGTCATGTATGACTTAATCACAGAGCTGAACGACCGGAGTGAGGACTTGGAAAAACAAATTGGCAGTCTGGAGTCTAAACTAGAACAACTCACTGCCAGCTTCAATTCCCTTCCCTTGCTCATTGCGGACACCCTTCGTCAGCAGCAGCAACAACTCCTCTCAGCCGTCATCGAGGCTCGGGGAGTGAGTGTGGCAGTGGGGACCCCCCACACGCCACTCTCCGACAGCCCTATTGGGGTCAGCTCCACTTCTTTTCCCACCCCTTACACAAGCTCAAGCAGCTGCTAAATAAAACTCCCCACACAGGAAGAATTGCCGACAGGTCTTAAGATGCAAGTCAACTTTCTCCCGGTCTTTCTGTCATCACAGGAACATTCAGGCTGAGTGGACATAAAGAATAAGATTGAACTAATTAACAAACTCATGTTCATTCAGAGTGCTTGGTTCGATATGCCTTGAAATCAGAAATCGAATCTCTGTTTAGGTGCCTATATGTGGAAGAGGGAAAGAGAAATGAAAGGAAACCAAACATTTGACAGGGCCTTTGTTGCAGTGTTTGGTGGAGAACAGAAATCCATGCTCAATCTCAGGTCTTCAATTGTTGTGGGGGGAGGGAATAAAGAGAGGGAGAAGGAAAGGAAGAAGAAGGAGAGAGAGAGAGAGAAACTAAAGGAGCCAGTGGAGAAGCAGCTAGAGGGAAATATTCTACTCCACTGAATATCAGCCTTGGGCTTTGTCTTATTCACAACTAAGGGCCTCATCTACCACTGTGTTCTGCTCTTTTTCTCTAATCTAAGAAGGTCTTTCTATATGACAAAGGTAGAAGAAAGAAGCTCACAATTTGCCAAAACAGAGATACAGTCATAGGGCATCAAAGCTCTTATCCCTTACATAGGTCATAAAACCTAGTGCATGGTAAATGAGGTCATGTAAGACAGATTTTTCCAATCTAATATCAATAATTATTTATAAAAAACCAACCAACCAATTCCTGCCCATGTGCCCCTAAATTTAAGCCATTCCTTTTCCATTGGGTGATGTGTCCTGTTCAGGCATCACTTTCCATCAACTATTCTTTCTTTGTGGGCATAGGTCCCCTTCCAAACCTTACAGGTTGCTTTTGCCATAGGTATGTACAGTGCCTGTTATGAGTTGAGTGCCAACTCAAAAATATTGGCTTTCTGGAGCTAAAAATGGTGTTCTGAAAATAGCTGCTTTGGTAGAGTTTTATTCTGCTATCCAAACAATCTGAGATTCATTGGTATTATGCGATGATGAGTACACCACAGATATTTATGGTGTCATGGCTCAGCTTGAGTTTCAGATGGGAAGTCTCACTGATCTTGTGCCTACCCCACCTCAAGTTTCCTAAGCTAGCTGAGTAATAAAAGGTTTCCTCATCTCAGATTCTGTGACATTGACAGCATTTATGATGAGAGGTGCATGCAGCAGCTCATAAGTGAAGTAAAGATCATTATAAGACAGTAGGTTTAGGAAAAGGAAGGTGGCTCAAAAAGGAAGTTCTTTGAGAAAAAATTTAGGTGAGTGTTCACTAACAGCAAACAATGAGTATCTGTTTCTGCTGCCTTCACCCCCAAAATCATGTGTCTTGCACAACTGAATACTTTAAAGGGGACTTTAGAACTGCTAGAAAGACTGCTAGAAAGCCCTGATCAAGCCCACTGCCCTGAACGGTAACGTCAATCCCTAAACCTTTTACCTCACCCAAATCTGACTACTTCAGATTTTGCCCAATGAAAATAATCTTGTAATTTGCTGCTTTAATTCTGAGGGGTTTTTTTTATTACTATATGGCATATTTCATCTGTTTAAATTCAAGCAAAAGAATGCTATCCTTCAGTGGATAGCAGTTCTGCTGGGTTCTGATAAATTGTTACCACTCTAACGTAAGTTATGTAATGCAGCCAGCTACAGAAATTTGCTTCAGTCTATTTCTGTCACACTGGGTATGGTCTTCTAAAATCTTTTAAGGAAGTGTTCAGTTGACATAGGTGGAAATTTATATAGTCCAGGGCATCTCTTGGAGGAAACCCTGGTCTGTAGCCTGATCTCTTCCTCTAACTATCCAAGAGCATTTCCAGATTTCCTGTTTAAGATTCCTTTTAGCATTGTCTGTTACTTGATTTGCATATCACAGATACCAAACTTGTTGCTGGGTTTGTTTATTTTTTAATCTCTATTCTTACCACTATCACTTTGTACCAGGAAATGCAGCACCTATCTACTATGGTAGATAGTGCACTGGGCTTGGAGTAAGGGAGACCTGGGTTCAAATTCCATCTCTGACACTAGTTGTGTGACCCTGGGCAAGTCATTTAATTTCTTTGCTTCTCAGGCAGCACCTTAAATCTATAAAATTACAGATGGATTGCCAGTAGGATCTATGAAGGGAGTTCCCACACTAAGGAAATCTTAGGTCCCTGTTGTATCTCATGCATCTATTTCTTTGATGTTCCTAGAGCAATGTTTGTTGCTATTTTCAATGAAAATTCAGCAGAACATAAAAGTAGATGTTTAAACAGATGAAATAACCATGGAGTTACTTTGTGATTTTCATCATATTTCACCAAACAGTGGCTGATAATTGTAGAAATCTACTTGCCCAATCTGGACTCCAAAACCATAGTCCTCAGCTACTGGATCTCAATTTAACCCTTTCATTGCTAATGCAACCCCCTCCCAACATGTCTGTGTGTACAAGGATCCAGTTTCATATTAATTTCAGATATTGCATGTAAAATTATGATACCCCTGCTCCACCCCCAAAAAATTATACACAGACTATCACTTCTCAGTCAGTCTGTGCATAAGTGTTCATGCTTTACATGACCTTTGACCAGTGAGAGACCCGTGCAGGCACTGAACAACACAAATTTGAAACACCTTCTAGTTTAGGGGGTGATTTGGGTTGCTTCCAGTGTTAGTAGCCATGGGTACTCTGGAAACACAAGGGCATTTTAAGCATAAATTGAGCCTATTGTAGTGCAATAGAGAAGCATGATTTTTCATCCATGCCAAGTAAAAGGCTCTTCAGAAGATGAGTGTTCTGATCTGCATACTAATACTGTCCTGGTCCCATTGGAAGATAGTTTCCATATACTAACATTAAAGATATCTGTTTGGAAACTGCATGTTCTCGTACAAGTACAGACAAGTCTTGATGACTTAGGTACTAAAAATCCAGTGTGCAAGTCATTCAGGCTTTTTGTTTCTCTTTTTTCCAGATTCCATTTTCTGGTATGCCACTGCTCATTAGCAACCCCTTCATGTCTTGGGTATTGGGGCTAGGAGAAGAAATGACTATCAAAACTTTCTTCTTCCCTCCTTGTTCCAAGGTTTGTTGGGTGGAAGAGGTTGAGTTGCCCCTTCAAAAATTGGCTGTACTTGGAAAACACTAAGTCACTCCAGCACTGGATAGCTAAACTAAAATTTAGGTCCATTCTGCATGGCTTTCCCAGTGGTGGAATTCTCTACTCTAATCTTTCTGATAACTCAGTGACAAATCCAATAATGCTGCTTTTCTCTAGAACTTCTAGACACCAGTAGGGCAGACACAGAAATGCCACAATGGATTGCTTAAGCCATATTATGTACTGTAAAGTCAGGGGTGTACTGTGATACATTAGGTCCACTTATCTCAGTGGAATTTCAGGACATAGCTCCAGCTGGTAGCCCAAATCAGACCGGGGCCCTTTCTTCCTTAGGTCAAAGTTCAGATGGAAACTGGTATCGTTGTCTTAAAGATACCATCTTTTGTTCTTTACCTATACGTTTTCATAAATTGCTTCTCACCTGTTCTTGTCATCCTCATGAGACGTTAACTTCATAATCTCACCACATCTGTAGGGCTGTTCAGTACTGTCTAGAATACAGCAAGAGCAGTTGCATCTGAGAACTCCACTAATTTTCTGACCTTGACAGAGATAGAGAGATGGCACAGCAATATTCTCCTGCAGCAGGCAGAAAGGAGCAGAAAAAATGGAAATAATAGTGGAAAAAAGAAACTACATTAAAGATAGGAGTTTTTTCCCCTCTCCTACTTGGTGTAGTCATAACAAGCTATCAAGTAAGAGAAGAATATTTGAGCTAGAAAGAAAAGATTAGAGATCAGAAATAAACTAGTTCTACTTTGTTCTAAGTAACTTAACCAGTCAGTATCTTAGTCACTGTATTGGTGAATATGAAGATAATGTTTAATATTCTCCAGGGCAAAGTATTACACAAGAACAAAATGTAATCTCTGAGGTTCAAGTTAATTAACCAGCTATGTTTGGTCTCCACCTCTTTGGGGCACACTGGAATGCAACATAGCCAGGAATCGCTGAAAATGGTGGTGGTGGCGATGGGGTGGGGGGCATTTAATGACAAAACACTAAAGTCAGCCAAACGGGAATCTGTAATTAGTAATAGAATTGGTAGGAAGAAAATTGGGGGCACTAATGTGACGTTCTAGGGCTTCTCTCCATGATCATTTTGTAAATCAATGAACAGCTTAACCCCAAATTAAGCAACATTACTGAGTCCCCAAAGTAAACAGTTTCCTGTCCCACCATGATGCTGGGAAGTAATTGTAAGACATTGCAAAGTAATTATGCTGCCAGGAGGTTGTGACTTTCCCATCCATAATGCCCCAGTTTCTACAATTGCTCTCTTTTTTTTTTTTAAGATTACCAGAATCAATGCAAGTGATAGTTATCATTCTGCTGTGCCTATTTACTCCTCACTGCGTTATGTTTCGGTACCTTAGACAGCAGCTTGGTTCATTTATTCCTAGGCATCCTTTTTTCCCCTTGCATCTAGTTGGTGACACTCCAGGCATTCTTCCCCCTCCTTTTTTCTTGCTACCAACGTAAACGTTATGGAAATAGGATCATTGGTGCCATTAAGAAAGCTATATATAGTCATTCTGTGGAGATATTCATATTAACTGTCTGTTTCTGATAGTTGAATAGCAGGCAAAAGATAATCAGCCTGGGTGTTACTAGGAAAGCAATAAGGACAGAAATCAACTTTATGGTCCTGTCAAGGACCAGAAGGAAATATAGGTTTTTCAATGACATGTACTGACGATTCCTTAAAAGAACTCAATTTAATGGTATAAAAAAATGAACTGTGATCCCCTACCTTCACCCTGCTTCCCTTTATACTTTTACTGGAAAGACACTAGCTTGAACTAGCATGTCCTCTGAACAGCCCATCATCCAACAGTCAACACATGACCTCCAGATCTAGATGCCAAATGCCCCTGAGACAGTTGTTTACATACCTGGGAAATTCATTCTGAAAAATAGTCATGGGCAAGGACGACATATTGAAGTAGAATAAAAGGAAGGAAGGGCCTAGAAAAGCTGGTGGAAGAAAAGCACAAGCTTCAGCTCTAACATCTAGTTGTAATCCCAAAGAGAAGCTGACATTTTATAGATACACACACACACACACACACACACACACACACACACACAGCAGGAGCAAACCACACCAGAATCTGATCAAAACAACACACTCCCAGTTT